TTCAATCCCGGATCTCGAAGCTTCAATCTCGGAACAATACTTGGTCCGGGATACCGACTGCATTTTTTTCTTTTTTCAAGAAGCCAAGTGAAAATGTATGAATGGAAAATATTTCAAATCATTTCAGAAATTTTAATGTTAACGTACCTCTAACTCTTCAAATGTGAAAATGTGTGACAACGATTTTAGATAGTGTGGGGACAATGATTAAACACGTGGCAATGTTTCTTTCGCGGATTTTAAAAAACGTGATCTGTGAGAAGTTTGGATGGTGTGAAAATTTTGGATTGTTTCAAATTCAAAACATAAGTAAAATATGAGGTTAAAAGTTTGGTGAAATGGTTGAGTGGAAGTTAATGTATATTCGTCTTTTCACTAAAGGTGGGTTCAAAATTAAGTAGGGGTGAGGTCAAAAATTAGGTTTTTTTAAAATTGGTTCATTTATCCAATTTGAACTATTGTGGGGTTCAAAACCCCAATTTCCCAAGGTTTAAAAAGTTTTCAAGGGTATTTTGGTCCAATAAATAAACTTGGGGCGATTTAGAACTCAGTCTTCTCTTCAGTCTTCTCTTCGTTTTCAAGAAAACAGAATCTCTCTTCTCTCTGTGTCTCCGCCATGGCTATCAGCATCGTCGACCACGAAATTCCCTCCGATTCCCACAATTTGTACGACGTTACCATTGATTCCGATCAGATTCACACTCTCCTCACATCTTCTCCGGCCATGGTCGATTCCTGGATCTCTGAAACCCTCGCCATTCAGACTCCACCTCTCATCGTTGGTCTCGACATCGAGTGGCGCCCTAACAGAAATAGCTCTTACGAAAACCCCGTCGCCACACTGCAACTCTGTTTCGATCGCCGATGCCTCATTTTTCAACTCATTCACGCCTCCGAGATCCCTCGCTCTCTGACCGATTTCTTGACCGACGAGTCCTTCACCTTCGTCGGAGTCGGAATCGGCGAGGACGTCGAGAAGCTCCTCTGCGATTACGGCTTGAACGTGAGCAACACTGTGGATCTGAGGAATTTGGCCGAGAATGCGATGGGAAGAGGAGATCTGAAGAATGCGGGATTGAAGGGCTTGGCGAAAGAGGTTCTTGGAAAGGAGATTTCTAAGCCGAAGAGCGTGACGATGAGTCGGTGGGATAATGAATGGCTGGTTCCCAATCAGGTGAAATATGCTTGCGTTGATGCGTTTCTGTCATCTGAGATTGGAAGGCATCTTTCCAATCGAAGGGAATCAGGGGAAAATGTTGATGATTCCTAGGGTTCTTTCTGTTTCATGGATTTTGTGCAGCAGACTTGGATCACCAATTGTAGCATTTCGATTTCCGTTTCTCTTCTCAGTTATGACTTCCAAATATCAGATTTGAAGAATATGGGTTCTTTGATTGTGTAATCTTTATTCCCTGGTCTTCTTTCTCTTTCTCTTTCAAATGCTTTTGCAATCTCAAATCAAAATTTAACACCATGTGGTTTGAGAATTGTTCCGAGTCGTTTATTCAGAGACTGCTTTCTTGTAGTTTGGATTTTTCTTTCAATGTCAACATCAGTCTTACGGGATATTTTTTAATTTGTCCAAAATTGAAGAAAAGTATCTTACAGTGCAGGTTTGATTGATACGAAAACAAGAATTTAGAAACTAAATTTAAGAATTTGTATTTGATAATCCTGTGCTATTAAAAAACAAATGCTTGGTTATTGTCTTATAAGTTATAAATATATTGTCTTCTTGAGGTATAGGAAAAAAAAAATATATATATATCTCAGCTAAAATTAGCATTTTATCTTTTAAGGGAGACGTAAGTTCAAATCTCTCAACTCCAGTAAAGAAAGAAAAAACAAAACAAAAAAAATCTCCTCCATCTGGATAATTTGAAGGAATGAAAATACATTACCCAAACTTAATTTTCTGCCAATAATACATATAGAAGTTTCCCATTTAGCTGAGAAAATTTATAAAAATAATAATAATAATAATAATAATAGAGAGGGTACTGCTAGCGAGGAAAAAGAGATTTGGAGATAATTCTTTGTTTGCAACTGTGGAAACAATATAAAATTGCTATAATGTTTGTCTGCTCACTTTGGACGTCACTTCTCTTAAGATTAGTACATAAATATGTGTGAGAGAGAAAATTGAATAGGACAGAGCATAACTCCACGTTGGTTTTAAACGCGAAATAGATGGAAATGTCGAGGAAATATCGATAAAATGCAGATGTCGATGAATATTTCTGTAAAAGTTAGAAAAAATAAAAAATCGTAAAAAATATAACAAATGAACATTTTCTCATTTCGTTGATAATTTTCATATTTTGTTGATTTTCTCGTATTATGATAGAAATATCGATTCACCTCTCATGTCCATGTTTGGTTCAACATGGACATGTCGATAGAATTATCTATCGAAAGATATTTAGAACCATGGTTCATTGATATATATTTCCGACCAACCGATCATTTCATTATTATTATTTCTTATCTCGCCTCACATATTTATTATGATTTCTTTAATATTTTTATCCTCTCTCCTACCATAATTTTTGTAATTAATTTTTTTATATTTTTATTTATGTCTTTTTTATTCATACTACTAATAATATTTTTTTCTAATAAAATTTTGACGTGATTTATTGTAAAATATTATAAACTTATATTTAATTTTTAAATTATTTGATTTTACTCTCTAATTTTTTTGATAAAATTCATTATTATTAAATATTAGAATAATTAAATTTAATAGTATTTTCTATTAAATAATGGTTGTTCTAATAAAATAATATTTTAGTTGATATACTTTTATTTTAATTATTTATTAATATTAAATAAATTATTATAATAAAAAAAATTTACTATTAATAATATAGTAATAAAATAAATTAAAATTTATTATTGCTGTACATTAAAAAAAAGTAGCCAATAATGTATTTGTAATTAGTTAAAAAGAATAAATTTGTATACTAATAATTATTATATATCTGTTTCCGATTTCGATTCCGGATAGTTTTAGTAAAAAATGTTAAAGAAATTTTAATTCTGATTCTAAAATATTTTTAGAAAACAACATCAAAGAAATAACATTCTAATTTCAATCGATTTTATTTTGATTCCTAGTAAGTAAATAAAGTTTAAGTGTTAGAATTGAACATCGTCGACTTTGTTTAAAAAAATTTTGGTCTTAAATACACTTCCATTATTTTACTTTTCGGAGTATAACATTTACCAAAGTCCAAGTGTGGCTCACCTTTACCTTCAAACATGAAGCAAAGAATCCTTCTCTCTTGTAACCCAACCTTGAGTCGAGACATCATAAATGTCAAAGTCAAAAATTTATGAAAACTTTTATATAAAATTTTTGGACAGTTACAAATATGGTAAAAATATTTAGTAAAATTAATAAAATATCAACCACATTTAGTTTTTTATCCTTTAAAAAACTTTACCCAAATGATGTAAATTGTAATATATCTAATTACTGATATATGTATGTGATATACATTTGATATACTGATATGAGTATCTGATGTACATGCAATATATATGTAATATACATTTAATATACTACTAATGTATGTGTAATATGTATGTGATATACATCTAATATACTACTGATACGAGTATCTGATATATTACTGATATATCTCATACAATTAAAAAATTGTTATATTTAAAAATTTTAAAAAACAGGTGACATATTTATCTTTTACAGCCCACTACAATTTCTCTAAAAATTTTGTCAATAAAATCCTGATGTTCCTCCACATTTCAAAAAAATCACAGAAATAAAGTTCATAAAAATGTTTAAATTATCCTACAACATTTCAATATTTTAAATAAGTTAAAAATAATAATTATTAATATTATAATTACTTTAATAATATTTTGATAATATTTACACAATATCAAAGAAATATTAATTCATCCCTCCCGTCAAAGTCGAACCTCTAAACGTAAAAATATCAACGAGGGTTGATAAAAAAAAATTTAATACACAGTTAAAAATACTTGTGAATTGAGCTACAGTTTTTAAAAGTAATTTTACACTGCATCTAAAAAGTGATTTGACTCTAAATGACTCTAAAGTGTTCTACGTCAATCACTTGAAAACAAAAAATTTGGAGAGACAACTTCTAGAAAATAAGAATTCAAATCAATTTGATTATTACAAAATACAAAACACTATTTCAATTTGTGGAGTGAACTTTTTGTTCTTGGTTCTTATGAATTTGTCTCAGTTGATAAAATTTCAATCCACCAAGAAAAAAGGAGTTGCAACCAGATGGAAATTGCTCCAACAACATTAATTACATAAATTCAAAAAGTTTGAAAGCCAATTGGTTCCAGAGGTTGTTTGTAGGATCAAAATTTTGAAATCATTTTGAACAGAGAACGAACGAGTAAACAAACGCGATCGAGAATTCAAATCAGAATCTAAAGTCTACCAAACACAGAATGCCGAACAGAAGCAACCAGATTTACAATGGAAATCCAAAACCAAATGAAAAGCTGTAACAATCAAATCCTAACAAACCGCAATCGAAGAAAATGAAGAACCCTAACAAACAGCCATTGAAAGCCCCTTTCACAAATTCGAATCTAACTGGACAGAGACCTTCCAATTTCAAAAGACAGAAACGCGTCAATGGAAGCATACGCTACCTGAGCGGAAGTTAGATATTCGTCGTCCCATCTGCTCATCGTCACGGCCTTCGGCTTCGCGATCTCCCTCCCAAGAATCTCTCTGGCCAAATCCTTCAGCCCTGCGTTCCTCAAATCCCTCCTTCCCGTCCGATCCACAGCCATAGACCGGAGATCGACAGCGTTGTTCACAGTCAAATCGTAGTCGTCGAACAGCTTCCGAGCGTCCTGATCGATTCCGACGCCGACGAAAGTGAAGGTTTCGTCGCCGAGAAAGTGGAGCAGAGAGTGGGGGATTTCAGGGGCGTGAATGAGTTGGAAAATGAGGCATCGGCGGCCGACGCAGAGCTGCAATGTGGCGGCGGGGTTCCGGCGAGAGCGATTGAAGTTAGGGCGCCACTCGACGTCGAGACCGACGAGGAGACGGTGGAGGCGGCGGCGGTGGAAGCGGAGGATTCGGGAGATCCAGTGGTCGACCATGTATGGAGAGGAGGTGATGGTGGTTTTGATTTGATCGGAATCGAAGGTGATGTCGTAGCAGTTGTGGGAGTTGCAGTTAACATTTTGTTAATGTTTTGTTGATATTTTTATGTTATCATAGAAATATTAATTTTTTGAGCTGAACTAGAGGCATAGAGATTTAACCCTCGCCTGTCAACACAACACGGGTAATTAGAACTTGGTTAATTATAGAAAGAGTATTAAATATACTAATAAACCTTATCCATTCCTCCTAGAATTTACTTATCATTAACCAATGTCAAAAAACAGAATGGGATTAAAACAAACCCAAGAAGTGAAACATGAAAATAGTTAAAACCCAATTGCTTCATACAACATTTTAAAAAGTAAATACATTTAAAAATCATTATAAACAAAGCAAAGGTTTCCATTTTATGCCAAATTCATAAATAATATTTAAATTAACAACTCAGCATTTAATCGTTTCTAAATGAGTTAATAATTGATATTAATCGATTTTTTTAGAAATGTTGATTAACCCAAAGATAAATGAAAATATGGAAAAATGTGAACTACCACCGCAGGCAAAGAAAGGATAGCAACGGAGAGAAAGCAGATTTTGCAGTAATCAAACAAAGAAACTCTAACAACAGAAATTTACACACCACTGGAATCCCTCCATCAAACAAGAACCCTAAAGAAAGAACAGCTTCAAAATCCTCAATTCCATATATTCATCTGGACAGATACCTTCCAATCTCGAACGACATAAACGCATCAATGGAGGCATAGAGTATCTAATCGGGAGAGAGGCGTTCATCATCCCATCTACTCAGCGTGACGTTCCTCGACTTCTCCATCTCCCGTCCAAGAACCTCTCTCGCCAAATGCTTCAGCCGGCATTCCTCAGATCCACCCTCAGCTCCGTCGTAGCCAGATCCCCAAGATCCACGGTGTTCGCCACATCCAGTCCGTAGTCGTTGTACAGCTTCCGAGCGTCCTCCTCGATTCCGACGCCGACAAAGGCGAATGACTCGTCGTCGAGGAAATCGATCAAGGACTGAGGGATTTCCAGCGTGTGGATGAGTTGAAGTTAGGGCTCCACTAGACGTCGAGGCTGACGACACAGCGGAGTCGACGGCGGCGGACGTCGGAGATCCAAAAGTTGACCATGCTGGTGGCGGAGGTGAGGAGAGTGAGGATGTGGTCGTCGTCGAAAGATATGTCGTAGCAATCGTGAGTGTCGAAGATGATTTCGCGGTCTGAGATTCTGAGAAAAACGAGATAATTGACTCAAATGACCTCCCAGAAGAACTTTTTGCTCAAATAACCCACCTTTAAATAAATGTTTTGGATGACTCATTCTATTATTTTAGTTAAATTAAACTTAAACGAAATTACATATTTATCCTTGCCTCAAAAACAACCGTTGGCCTCCCCCGTTTCCCCCTCTTTCTCTTCTTCGTCTCCTTTTCCGTTTTTTTCTTCACCGTTTCTTCCTCTGTTCAAGTACTAAAGTTGACTAAAAAGCTCTCTTCCTCGCTATTGGCATTCAATATTGGAGGTAAGTTGATTTCGTTAGTTTGTGTAGTTAGGGTTTGTCGATTTTAGCATGTAAGAATTTCATTTTCTATTATCATCCATTTCATTGTTTTTAGGGTTTAGTTTTCATCGATTGAAAGGTTTTTATGCTCATCGTCGTTATCTGTTACGGTTAGAAGGGTTATGGGTCTGTAAATGTTGGGTTTGAAGTGGTTTTAGGTTGAAGAAGGTGAAGAATCGGGGCTATTTCGAGCGAAATGGGGTAGGAAACTGGTGAATTCAAATTTATTAATTGGGGTTTAGTATCTCGAAAAATTCCCGGGACGAATTCGGGCGAGGAAGACCGAGGTTTCCATTTTTTTAGAGGTTTTTTGTGAAACATGTCGCCCGAAAATCCCCGGGAATTTTTTCGTTTGCAAATTAATTCTCGAGGACGATTTCGCCTGAATTTAGACCCGAGGAAGTGTACAGTATTGATTTTTTTGTTTTAATTCTCGGGATCGATTTCGCCCGAGGTCGACCCCGAGAAATTTATCAGCACGTGAACAAAATTGGTTTTTTTTTTATATGTCAACTGCTTACTTGGTTCTTTCTGGGTTGTTTCTCATTATTGTGTTGTTTTTATTCTTGACTCTCCGTCCAGGTGTTGTAAAATGATTCCTAAAATCGATCCTGCAACCTACGCCTCTGCCAACCTAACTTGTCTATCGCATATAGCAAAAACAAGCAATGATATCAAGACAAAAGTTACCCAAAAACAGCTTGCTATGTTTAGGAAAACTGTCTTCGGCCACCTCCTTGATGTGGACCTTGTATTTAACGGGCCCTGATACATAGTGTTTTGCTTAGGGAGGTTGAAGAGAGTACGCCAGACACTATTAGCTTCAACCTTTTTGGGACTAAGGTGTCGTTCGGTCGGAGAGAGTTTGACATCATTAGCGGTCTAAAGTATTCTAGGAGTCCAGTTAGGAAAATCACGTATCCTCAAAGACTTAGGACCCTATACTTCAATAATAGCACGAACCTGTTGTTGAGTGAGTTGGAGAAGATGTATACATCCATTCGGTTCGAGGATGACTTTGATGCAGTTAAGGTGTCAATAGTGTACTTCGTAGAGTTAGTACTGTTGGGGAGAGAGAGAAACATGAAATTTGACCATACTTTGCTTGGAATAGTGGATGATTGGGAAGCCTACTGCAACCACGATTGGACATTGTTGTCGTTCGAGAAAACAATCTATAGTCTGCAGCGTGGCGCATCCAAGAAGTCGAAGGAGGGAGGATTGAGGAAATCATATAGTCTCTATGGTTTTCCATGGGCGTTCCACGTATGGACATAAAAACTCTATTATTCGCTGTTTTTTTTCTATGTTGTGGTTTATTACATCCATCGTGTATTTGTACATGTGTGGGCATACGAGACTATATTTTCTCTTTCCGAGCGTGTTGCGACTATAGTAAGTCAGGATGCTGTGCCACGCATTCTCTGGTGGAGGTGTGGCCATTCGACTGCATATCACGTGTTGGCCAGAGAGATTTTTCGATCTTCTACTGTAAGTTGAATTTACGTTATAACTATTTATTAATTAGTTCTCATGCTCACGCCATCGACAACTTACCGTTTCTGTAGGCAAGAACGCTAACATTAAATCCAACCGATGCGGAGACGAACTTCCTTAATAGGCCCTTCGACCCACCCGAAGCGGAGGAC